AGCATACCTTCAATTGAATGAAGTTCATTATGGCTGAGGTCCAGCATTCGGACCCACAGTAATTTCTCAACAGACCCCATCCGAGATAATGATAAGTTGTTTAATCGTAGGCATATATGATTACCAATGCTTGAAGAAGCCAAGTTTTTATGGCTAAAGCAATGCCTGAGCAGAGACTTCCTATTGGAAGTTACCTGCAATAGTTATAAGCATGTAACAAACTGCAGAACTTCAAAATGGGAAGCCTAAAGTAAATGAAAGTTCTAATAAGTTCTCATTTGATGAACACCAGAACACAAAAGTAGTTGCCTACCAAAATTCAAATGAGGCTTATATAAACAAATATCTACATTATATTGGACCGGTCTCAGCAAGGGACCACTTATATAAGTCATAAATTAAATAATCGAGCATAAGTGTAATCCATTCTATCAGCCAGGATCCCATAGTACCCAATTTGGTCGTACTCAGTCAAAAGCAATGACAAAACGTGTGCAGCATTACCATATATATAAACTTTTTTTGCTGAAGAGATTAGATTATTTAATTACAATCTATGAGTCGGTGTAATCCATAAAAAGGTAAGGACCTTCAGCCACTGATACAGTCACAGAAGAAGAAAACAAATCCAGATGCACATGCAATAGCATACTGATAGAATAAAGGATCATGAATTGCTACAAGAGGTGGAGAAGAGATAATTACCTTCTGCAGGAATACTAAGCTGTGCTCATCTTTGTAATACTGAGAATGTGATGGGTCCAACTTTATTAAGTCGGTATATAGTTGAAGAACTTCGTCATAGTGGAACATTTTGTTCGTATATGGAGACAAGATAACATCATGAGCAGTTAATAGCCTTGCTAGTGTAAGCTTTCCAATTTTACTGCAAAAGGAATATCAAAAGAGGATTATTAAAAGAAATTTGAAATTTCAAGCCTTAAAGGTTCCCATAAAGTATAAGAAGCCTACCAATTTATCTCTGACACCAATTCTCGGAAGAGAGCTATTTCCTTAGCAATAGTCTCTGCACGCCAATTTGAAGCCGTTGGCTCATGTACATCATTAATACTTTGTTGATCAACAGGAACTACTTCATGTAGCTCCTGAGATTGTGTTTGGAACCCATGAAAATTTTCATCTGTCCATAAAATTATGTCCTCGCCCTGCTTTTCAGCTGGTTCAGTTTCAATAGGGCGTACACACACTTTGAATGCAAACTGTGTAGGATGATTATAATCAAAGCCACTTGCAGAAATGATACCCTGAGTCTGCCCAACACTAACTTTCAGCTGATACGCTTCTGAAGAATGGGACTTTGCATTTGGAAATTTAATATGTGTAGCCCAAACTTGAGAGAGCTGGGAGTTATTTTGTAAGACTGGTTTCCAAATAAGATCTTTTGTGCAAAATGAAGATTCAATGGTTATACTGGATGAATTTACACCTTCAACTGCTTGATTGAAATAAATAAGCAGTGGCACTGTTCCGGAATCAGAATGGAAACTATCAAATGGAGACGAAGAACAGTCACTTGAGAGCCTATTTCTCGACAAAATTATGGAAGATCCATGGGCCGGCCAAGAAGAAACAAGAAGAGGGGCATCTGTTTTCACCGTTTGATCAAGAAGCCAAGTATAATAAAACCAACCACTTTGATCATCTGGATCTGTAAAAATAGCATCGTGTACATGCTCATACTCATTGTTCAGAACCTTCACTTTTGGGAAAAACCCTTCAGCCTTTTTCTTCATCAAATTAGACAGGAGTACACTGCAATTTTCCCAATATATTCAATTAGTTAAAAGACATGTTTCGTGAGATAAAACATAAAATAAAAAATTTAGCTTTTCGCAATGTTGCAAATTTTTTGTAACATAACCAATGCGTAGATATAGTGCAACTCGAGAAGAGTGGAAAGAATCCTTAAGAAGATATAATTATTTGATGCAATTACACAATTATCTTTTCAATTTGACTTAGCCTGGAGACAAAATATAACAGGCAGCATATTCAGTTCAACATTTGAAGAGACTACATTCATTTGGCTTGTAAATAAGCAGAGGAAAGAAAGTCATTTTTATATACATATGTAGAAGAAAAAAAGCAATTAGTGACAAAGATATGTAAAATTTTCTTTATACATTCTCTCCACGTTCTTGGAAATAACCAAGGAGAGAGAAACAAAACATTTATCTAAAGATTGTTGAGAAATGTAACCAAATGACTATATTTCTCTTCAACTAAGGGGATCTTTACTTTAGTTTCCTGCAGTTACTAACTGCGAGTCTTCTCTGCAATCCATAATCAAATACCTAAAAAATCGATCAACTAGGAAGGACTAGGTGATCTGAATCGCTTTCCTTACTTCCCCTATTTATATGTTCTCCCATTCCTTCCTGCTCCAATTTCTGTTGAGTAAACATACGCTAAGTGAATCTGAAAAGGAGTTAGCTGTAACACAGAGATAGTTTCCATATTTAGATTCTTGTCTTTCAGTAATTGGTAACCAATTACACCGTTTATTCTTTCTACAACGGGGCTTAAGACTTGCTCATGTAACATCTGTATGATTGCTTGTGGCAATACAGCATGCATGACATGTTTAAAATGCACTAACCAAATAAAACAAGTAGCATTCACAATACCCAAAATTGCACATGGAAAATAAACCACATGTTTCACAACGTTTTCAATCCAATCTAAACTTTTAGTTGACAAAAGAGTATCAGAGTGCTCAAAACTAAAACCAAACCCCATTGTACCGTACCTACGATTATGCCAGGCCGAGTAATTGCTGAAATTGTTTTCTACCATTTCCCTAGTATACTCCAACTCTTCCTCGTCCGATCGGTTCAACAATGCAGCTACAAATCTGCAAATGTAGCAACATAAAAAAAATATCATCCAACGCAGATATGAAATAGCAGACCCCTCATTCCTCAAACAGGAGTTGTAACTAACTTGTACCTGCGGTAGTTCCAAGCATGAAAATTCCGGGGATCCAGCTGCTGGAACTGTTTGAGAAGCTTCATTTCGCGGTCCAAAACCGAATGCCCCTTGCTTAGCACCCATTTTCGATGATGCCAAGCTCCGTAGGACTTAAAATTTTGCCTCAGAGCAATTTCTACCTACACACACAGCAAACCCCAATCAATTCAACAATTCAATGAATTCGAACTTCATCTCAACAAAACAAAACGCGATTTCAACATTCCACAATCGAATAAGTAAATGCGTGCATACGAGTCTGAGTTCTTGGTCGATGATGGACTTGAGCGCGTCGGGTTCGGACTCGGAGCACCGATCGAGGTTTTGCTGGACGACGAGTTTTCGGTAGTTCCAAGCGGTGTAGAACTCGGGGTTTTGCTCGATGAGTCTGCCGCTCAACTGTAGGGCTTCGTCGGTGTAAACCTTGTTGTGGTGGTTGGAGAAGAATTGCGACTGGAGAGCTCGGAGCGCTTCGGCTCTTGCGGCGGAAGCCGATTCGTCTTCCGGCTTCGCGGGCTTGCGAGGTCGCCCGTGCATTTTGCTTCTGCTTTCCGGCGGAGGCGAAGGATCGGATTTCTTTCGCGATTTGAAATTTGCGGGGCAATAAGATCAGATCGTCTGGGAATTGGGACTTCTCATGTACTAGTGTTTACTTACACGACGACTAAAATGTCGTGCTGCAAAACCAGACAAGGGGTTTTTCTAGAGTGCAATTTTACTCACCATGGTGTATCGTTATCATGCATTTAATAATTTGTTACATTAGTTTGGTTAAGATACACAATGATATTTTAATTTGGTATTGAATTTATCATTCATAGAGTTTGGACTAAGATTTTTCATTCATACATACAAAAAAATACCACTAGACTGTAATATTGAGTGAGTAATTCATTTCTTTTTAAAATTAAAAAATAACATCCAATGCGAAAATGCTCTTTTTTTCTACCGCGTCGTGGGCTGATTTTTCGAAAGGATTGGATTCGAAACAATTTTTCAATTATTATCCAACTTTTTGTTACCCGTTGGCGTGTCAATGAATAACACGCTTCCAATTTTTTTTCCAAGCCTCACATCATCCGATTTCAAATTTTCAGCACTTACAATTGCATTTGGTCCGTTTGTGACATATCTCATTTGTTGACATATGATCATTTATTTATTTATTTTTGAATAAATGATATTATCTACGCTAAGAGTATGAGAAAGTGGGTTAAGCCTCCCACTCTTAAGTGTTCAACATATGTCTTCAATAAAACAAGTTAAGGTCACGTAACCCAAAATCTTTCTAAACTAGTATTTTGATTTCCTAAGACATAACCCGTACTTTATTTAGTAAAATATAAAACAAAATCATTATGTTAAAAGAAATAATTTGGTAATTGTCATCTAAATTACGATCTAGTAGTATTCCTTTTCATTTTGTAAGTGTGAGTTCTTATGTTCAATTTTCACCAAAAATGAATTTGAACAATATTATTGCTATTGTTCTAAAAATCCCTGCCTAACACTGCTTAGGCCATAGGTGGTTGGCCACCGCCCTACTTAATGCCTAGACGTTAGAAAATTAAGAAAGAGCGCTTAGTCCTGCTGAGGCGTTGCCTAAATCGCTTAGACACCCGCCTAACTCGTTTAGACTCGCCTAGGTCACGACTCACTTAAACAGAGAATAGATAACTTTCATTGTGTATTTCATGTTTTTCAATAAATTGTAAGAGACTTGTTGCATATTTAATATTCTTGTTACTTATGTTTTCATTACGTTATAATACTTCATAATATATATATATATACACACATATATATTTTAAGTATAAACATACACTTATTTGCATGAAATATAATAAATTTACTTAAATCTACTTAATCTGTCTAGGCACCCATCTAGACCCCACCTAGCTTCCTAACATCTTTTAGAATCTTGATTATTGTTAGCTTATTATGAAGCTCATTACTCATTTTAGTGTAGATAATATCGTTTGTTAAAAAATAATATATTTGATAATTAGGTTACTTTTCATTAAAATGGAATGACTGTCGCTGGTTTTTCATCAGCCAGTCTCTCCCTCCGCATCCCAACCCAAGGCAGACAAACTCTGGTGTTCCCAACAGAAGACAAAGACCGCCTCCGATTCAGGTACTCTCTCTCCCTCTCCCTCCCTCTTCTCCCGCCCTCTGCTCTGCTAGCGTTTAATTTCAGACTCATATTATAACAGTCCCATAGCTTTTTCTAAATTGCAACTCTTCCTGGTTTTATTTCCAGAATAATTATTCTTGTTTCCCTTTTTTTTTTCTTTTTTTTTTTTTTATCCAACTTTTGTGAGTCCCCTTTCAGAATCCAGTTCATACAAATCCTTACTTTTACTCAGCGTTTGAAGAATTTGATACATGTACAATTGCCATGTTAAATTTAAAATCATAATTTTTTTTAGGCTTTTGGGGTTTTCAATTTTATGTGAAATTAGGGCTTAGTCGAAAGGCTCTTGCTTTAAAGTTTTTTTGACAAAATTTTTCAAACTTAGCCTCAATTCATTATTAATTTGACAAAAAATTAGTGTTTAGGTTGATGAATGTTACTTTATTCAAATGGGTTTTGCGCAATCTGTGTATTCAGGTTAAATGGACGAATCCGAGAAGAGAAAGGAACGGCTTAGAGCAATGCGCATCGAAGCTGAAGAGACCGAAGCTTCACTTAATGCTGCAACTTCAGCCGTCCCTGGTTACCTTTCCAATCCGTTGGCCGAAGATACTACAGCTATACCAGTCCCGGAGGAGCCTTGTGCTCCTTTTAGGTTTGACTTTTACTCAGATCCTATGGCAGCCTTCTCTTCCGACAATAAAAGGATTAAAGTCGGCGACCAGATTGCACAAGATAATTTTAGACATTCAAATACTGGTGGGTTTCCGGGGGCAAGGCTTCCGTCACCTCTTTCAGGTAATGTGTAATTATCTTAACAAAGTTTTCTTTGACGTTGTCGTATGATCACACGTAGATTTCGCATTTGACTTTATTTTCGAATTTCATACACTCTAGTCATGTCGCGATGTATTGCATAACTCGTATTCTAAGGCACAAACTTAGTTCTTGGGTAGCTTTTGCAAGCATATGGTATGGAGTTGGAAACTATTGGTAACACTATGCTTCCTTGTCACTAGACCAGTACTTTCTCACTGACGTGCGATGGAAAAATTTGGTCGTTTTTGGTTTAATTTCATTTTATTGTTAGAGTCATATTCTTATCAGATAAATGTAATCTTGTAATAGTTGATGCATGCTCGGATGCTCTATGCCAAAGTGTTGGAACACTTGAAGTTCGTCTTTGTTTTCTGTCTTTTATTTTATTTTTTAATGTTGTTCTTTCGTCTTAATTTTGGTTCTCTTAATCATGATTTAGGAGGACCAAGGAACCCTCAAATGACTGCTTCTCCTGCTCATCAGTTTCAAAGAAGTTATTCACCTGACCAGAGAATGTACCAAGCACAAGGTTCCTATCAAAATTTTAGTCCTCAAAGAAGCCCCGTAGGAATGGAAAGACCTTTCCCTATGCATCACGGGAATCGACCTGAAGTTTGGAATGGAGCTGAATTTAGACCACCAGCAATCCCTGGATATGGACCACAAGGAAGCCCTAGATTTAGGCCACAAGGAAGCCCGGGATTTAGACCACCAGGAAGCCCTAGATTTCAACCACCTGGAAGCCCTGGATTTAGACCACCGACAAGCCCTGTATTTAGGCCACCAGGAAGCCCTGGTTCCAATATTGGGCAAGGCAGGGGGCACTGGTTCAGCCATACTCCAAGACCTCAATCAGTACATGGAGGCAGCCCTAGTCCTGGTTCAAGTTCAGGAAGAGGTGGGTGGCGTGGTTCTCATGGTCGTGCAATGGACAGACAATTAGGGCCAGAGCGGTTTTACAATGCTTCCATGGTTGAAGACCCATGGAAATTTCTAGAACCTGTAATCTGGAAGGGGGTAGATACTCCCTTGAGATGTTTGAACACCCATGGCTCTTCAAAACCGTCAATTGGTATATCTAGTAGCACAAATAATGCAAGCATTTCAGAAGCTGTAAACAAGTCCATGCCGCAGCCAAGCTTGGCAGAGTTCTTGGCCGCCTCATTAAATGAAGCTGTCGATGATGCACCAAGTACATAACCTTTGCTCCTGAGTTCTAGTGAGAGTCTCTCACGATACAATGCACCCGTCATAAAGATGGCAAAGCAGAGCACGGAAGCAAGTATTCAGAAGGTTCAAACACCTGCATTTGGCTGCCAAGCTTGACAGAGCACTCAGGCTGCCTCATTCAGTAAAGCTGTCAACAGTGCACCAAGTATACAACAGTTGTTCCTGATTCCAGGAAGAACTAAGCAATACTAATGCACTTGCGGGCAAGACGGAAAACAAAACTGGTGCTAGATAGGCACCAACTGGATCGATGTATTTCTAAAAGTGCCTGAAGTTTGATGATTTGGCTTGTAATAATTTTCGAAAACTAACGTGGCTTTATTATCAACTGGATGCTGGTTTCTGGATTTGTTTAACATGTAATCTCGGGATTAGTCTGTATGTTTTCCAAGCTAAGGTTGCAATTACAGAAGTTCCATTTGCAGGAAAAGTTCAATTTTTGCTTGTTTTGCTCACCCAAGAAAGATCTTGTGCTGAAATTTTCTGTTCAAGTTTGCAATTCATTTCATGAACGATACTGAAAATCCGTAGTCGCTCTCATATAAATTCTTCTTGCATGCCTTTGTAATGCTCATGAAGGATATTCCTAACTTAGAAATAGTTTATTTTGAAACTGGTTTTCAACAACGGAAAGTCCGTCTTCTGCAGCTGTGCGGTTGTAGTATTTCGTAACTGTAATCTACAATTTCATGGTTGTATTGTGAGAACAAACTGCTATAAAGTCAAACTTTAAGAAATTCCTTATTTACTCATTTAGAGATTCAAAACTTTTACTTGGCTGCTTTATTGTACAAATATTAGTAATTGTCAAACCACTATACCCTTTTGCATTTCAATTTGAAATAAAGAAAGAAAAAATAAAATTTGATGATATAATATGCAACTTAACCTCTAATCCTAAGAACTTAACCTCTAATCCTAAGTTCAAAAAACAATAAGAATTTTGGGATTAGAAATTCCGTGGAAAAATGGGTTTCTTGGTGAATTAGTGACAATTATCTTCTTGGTAAATTAGTGCAGGCTAGTTGTGAGTTGTTACACACGAATTGGATTTATAAACTTTGTCATGTTTATTGTTTTAAGTATTTTATGACGAATGAACTAACTAATTTGTGTTTATTGTGTTTTCTTGGTTCATTTGATTTTGATCAAGCGCTTGCCTCTTTTCGACAAGGTGAACCACTAGAATTTAAAACCCATAGATATTAGATCTCTAACAATTAGATACACTTTCTAAACAATTAAATATCTAAACTTTCAGTGGCTAAGATCGATCTTATCTCCCATGGATTATTAAGAGCAACTTCTTTTTTTCCCAAGTCTCTTATCATGCTTTGAAACAGATATTTTACATTTTCGGCTGGCAAGCTCTCTAATGGATGAGATATAGAATTTTTGTTTTGGCATAAAAATGTAAGTAAAAATAGGATTTTTTTTATTAGCACTCCACATATTGTTGAATATACCCACATAAATATTTGTTATTAAATGACTCATGTATCTTAACATGAAATGATTATTTAACCCCAAAAAATTTTAAAAAATTGAATACACACCATACAAAAATTATTTACTAATATGAAAATTTTCATCTGTTTGTACGTTCTTACATAGATGTCTAAATCATAACCCTAAAATCTTAAAAACCCCTAATTCACAGAAACTCCCAAATTGATAGAAACCTAAACCCTAAAAAAAAAAAAATGTAATAACTGAACCCATTATAATTGTTCCCATTACAATTTTGAAAAAATATGAATAAATCAGTTATAATATAAACAATTTTTTCTCCAAGTGGTAAGCTTGACAGCTTTCTTTTAAATTTTTTTACAGTAAAAAGAATTGAACCCACTATAATTTTCAAAAAGATAAAAGTTCACCATGTGTCATTCCTTTTTGGGTCAAAATTTTGTAAGATTGACTCTAAATGAGTAACAGAGAGGGTTGCAAATTGTGGATTTGTGCTCTCCCAGTAACATAAACCAACAATCGAATGCCATGTAGTCAACCTCATTAGCATTTACATGTTTTGCAAGAGTCTTGAAATTTGGAGGTGTGGAGAGAACGAACAATGACGGAATGTTAAATGTATGTGAAGAATGTGGGGTTTGTATGTAGAAAGTGTGGGGTGTGAGGGTAATACAGGAAAAATTAGTGAGGTGTATTGAGATAATTTTGATTGAAAAATTGAATGTGGGGTGCATTTAGTATGTGGGGTGCATTTAGTATTTGGGGTGTATTCAACAATATGTGAGGTGTTAATAAAACAACCCTAAAAATATAAATTTGTTTTTTCCACATTTTTTTTGAGATCCCACCAATTAAAGAGAGAAAAATAAATGAATTTTCAAATTTATATGAATAAAACTTGAAGTCATTTCTCCACTTGCAAATAACATATTTTCATCGTAGAATTTTCTCAATCAGAACTATTTAATTTCTTAACCTTCATTTGAAGATTATCCTTGCAAAAAATCATTTAAATAAGAAATCATTTGGTCATCCAAATGTAGCAAATAAATGGACAATTCATTATTAATATGTTACCTTACACCCACACTACTGTTGATTTATTTGATACATTTGGAGGAGTAAATGCTCTCCAATTTGAATGATTTTTTGTAAGGATGATCTTCAAATAAAAGCAGTTCCGAATATGAAATTTCTATTACAAAGATACGTTATTTGCAAGTAGAAGAATGAGCTCATCTAAAAAGGAAAAATGCAAGTATTATTAATTTTCTATTTTTAATTCCCACATAAATGAAACTTAAAAAGAAGAAAATTTTCAGGCAAAAATACAATTTAAATTAATGCACTGAATTCAACTCTCAATTTTCCCCACAAAAATACAACGATCTTATCTTAAAAAGAAGAAAAAACGCAGGCCATTTCAACTGCATCTGCATGCATATTCTACGTTACTGTTGCTGGGTTCAAACCTTACACGAGGCAATGGAAGAGGCTACATGTTTAAACCTAATCCCGACAATTTACACCACGCAATGCATGCTCTTCGTTGGTGTTGCTGGGTTCACTTACTCCCCCTTTAAATACAGAACCGATTTGCTACTGTTCTACTATCCATCTGTTTGAGTTTTCTCTTCCGTTGCATAATTTGTTGATTCTTTAATCTTCATGATGGGTTCCTCCTCTCCAGAATCTTTATTTTTCTCTCTGTAAGTGAGCTCCATAACTTTAGTTTTCGATATTAGCAGAACTGTACATTCGGTTACCTAGTGACCGAGAAATGCATGGTCGCTCTAATGCACCCTTAGATTTGATATTTGATACAAAGTTGAAGATAAATAGCTTTGGTTTTAATGTTTGAATCTCAACCTTTGATATCAAAATCATGCCTCGACTATGAGAGCGGAACTCATGATTTTAGTTTGAACTCATATTTTTCGAAGTTCATCGCTTTCTTTAATATCTTGTAATGTTGCATGTAGCTCACACTAGAAATTTGGCTAAAAGACACCTTTTCATTGGTGTCTATTGTCAAGAGTGGACACTAACATTGGTGGCAAACCTCAATTGCCACCAAGCAGCCACTAAATTAGAGAACATGTCCTATGTAGAGGACTCTATTGTTACAAACACCACCAATTAGATAACGGTAATAGTTACATCTTTGAAATATTATATAATTTTTATACATTGGTGTCTATGTTGTAATATGTTTTTGAATTAATCTGAGCATCCAAATATATATATATATATATATATATGTATGTATGTATGTATGTATGTATATATGTACTACACAGAATTGCATGTTTGTTGTAATCTTCCATAACTAATCACATATTCAAAAAAAGTATTACAAACGGCACACTTTCACTGAAAAAAAAGAAAAAAAAAAGGGTACGCTAAACTACAACAAAATTAGGTCTAAAACCAATTAGCTATACTACAAAATATGAAACTGACCGTCAAAGTATGAAATAGGACCACGAATGTGACATCCCACATCGTCCAGGGGAGTGATCCTTATATGTATATTCCCATCCTTACCTAGCACGAGGCCTTTTGGGAGCTCACTGGCTTCGGGTTCCATTGGAACTCCGAAGTTAAGCGAGTAGCGCGCGAGAGCACTCCCAGGATGGGTGACCTATTGGGAAGTTCTCATGTGAGTTCCTAAAAACAAAACCGTGAGGGCGTGGTCGGGGCCTAAAGTGGACAATATCGTGCTACGGTGGTGGAGCGGGCTCGGGAAGTGGTCCCCCCTGGGCCGGGATGTGACAATTTGGTATCAGAGCCTAACCCTGGTTGCGTGTGTGCCGACGAGGACGTCGGGCCCCTAAGGGGGGTGGATTGTGACATCCCACATCACCCAGGGGAGTGATTGCCTGGAATACGCCAAAAGGTGACAAGCCTGCCAATTCCACGCCAACTTCATCCATCAACCGCCTGAGCCATTATACCTTACGGTTGCTTCATGACCATTTGACGCATGGGGATTGGACGTTGTAGAACCATTCACATTAAAGTTATCTGCATAAAAAGCTTACATCCTAGCTGCAACATATTACTTCTCCAAGTGGGCTGAAGCCGTACCCCTAAGAGAAGTCAAAAGCATATCATCCACCGATATGGTGTGCCTCGCTACATCATCACTGACAACGGAAAACAGTTCTCCTACCGGTTTATAGACAAGTTCTGCGAGAAATAAAAATTCAAGCAGCACAAGTCTTCCATGTATCATGCTTTGACCAATGGTCTTGTGGAAGCATTCAACAAAATGTTGTGTAACCTCCTGAAGAAGGTAATTGGCCGAACAAAGAGAGACTGGCACGAAAGAATAAGCGAAGCACTTTGGGCATATAAGATTACACATAGAACTCCTACCTAAGCTACACCTTATTCTCTCATATATGGTGTGGAAGTTGTTCAGCCACTCGAAAGTCGAATCTCTTCACTAAGGATGGCTATATAAGAAGGCTTGACTGAAGAGGAAAATGCAAAGCTATGACTTCAAGAGTTATTGGAAGCACACGACGAACGAAGGCTTGAAGCTCAACAATACATAAAATGCTACCAAGCACAGCTATCCAAGGCATTCAACAAGAAGGTCCACCCAAGGTCTTTCCAAACTGAAGATCTTGTCTTGGCATTACGAAGGCCTATCATCATAACTAACAAAACAAAGCGCAAGTTCACATCAAAGTCGGATGGACCTTACATAATACAAGAGGTCTACACTAACGGCACCTACTTAATCATGGTGGAAGACGGCTTAAAGATCGGCCCCATCAATGGCAGATTCTTGAAGCGCTATTACCCCTAAAACCAAACAAGCAATGCTCCTCTCCTGCATGAGCCTAAACTGCACACGTCACAATTCTCCTAGCCTGCATGAGCCTAAACTGCACACAGCACAATACTCTTCGATGCATAAGCCTAAACTGCACACGGCATAATGCTCTTTGTTCG